GTAAGGAGATGGAAAAAAAGCCCACATTGACCTCGTTGTTAAACACAAATTATGTCATTAGGTCAAATAACCTTTCGACCCCATTTTATTTAAAGTAAATTAAACAAAACGGCCAAATATATCTTTTAAATTGTTTCAGTTTAGTATTAACTGTGGAATTACATATGCGCTCCGGAAACCCATTTTAGAAAAACTAAATTGCTTTAATACTGAGTGTACAACAGCCTGTATTTATGTTGATTGTCTGTGCAACATACCAGAGGAACTCTTCTATATGCTTTGGGCAACTTCTGCTGAGATTAAAAATACTCAACAGTAGCAAATGGCTGACTTGCAAGTCACCTACATCCACCATCACAGCTGTGATTTATTAAGCTGAGGAAAGGCCTAGAAATTCATGAAACAGATCAGTCCACAACCACTCCCAGAAGCAGGAGCACGTGAATGTCTTCTGTGTTTCCCCAGCCAGTTGTGTCACCGCCATTCAGCACAGCCAGAGCACAAGGAAGATGGATAAAGATAAGTGAGAAAAATAAAAAGAAACAGTAGTAGGCTTCCTACACAGGCTAGGAACTCCTTTAGGCTCTCATGGTGTTGCCCAGATAGCAGCTGACACAGCCCAGTATACCAGAACAAGGAAGTCAGTACAGGATGAGATCAGTGCAAGACATTGAGTCTGTTTTGGTGTGTGAAAGCACAGCTTCTGGCAGGAGGCTGCTAAGTTCATGTGTGAGCAGGGCCTCCCATACAGAGGAGGTCTGAGGTGGCTCCTGGCAGGAACACAGAGCCCTGTAGGGCCCATGGAGGACAACGGCTGCAGCAGCCCATCCTCAGGGATGGAAGCCAGGAAAAAGATGAGGATGTAGGAATAGCAGAGACTGGCACCTATGGGCTGACCACAGCCCTCAGCCTACAGCCACTGGTTGCACAAAACTAAGAAGGGACTGGAGCTGCTCTTTAGTTTTGACTGGTTTAACCTGGCACTGGCTTTTTACGGTACCAAACAGCTTTCTGATGCCTTGTCTCCTACTATGGCTCGAGTACAGGCCTGAAAACAGTGGAAATAAGTGGTGGAGGTGCTCAAGAGACTGCAGGAGGTGCTGGGAGACAGAGGGCGTGCATGAAAAGAAGTTACTAATCAAGAGAGAAGCAGAGATTTTAGGTTTTTTTCCTGAAGAAATGTGTATATTTTCACAGATAACCACTAATCTGTGATGACAATTCAAAATATAAATAAAAACACCCAACTACACAAAATTCTCAATACTTAAGGTATATGAACTTGTTGGTACTCAAAAAACCCACGTATATAAGATCCTTTGAAACCCAAAAAGCTCACTGTTACTATAAATGTACACAGTGAAACAAAATCCTAAGAACAGGAAGACACTGAACTAAGATGCCTGCAATGAAAAATAAAAAAAAAGAGGAGAAAAAGGAAATCCTACATACAGAAAAACAAGTATAGCTGGAAAAAGGATGCCATGCTTTATCCTGAGATTGAAGTCACCCTTTTAAAAAAAAAAAAACACAATGCATCAACCTTCTCAAATAAAAAAGGGCAAGGAACTTCAGGATTTGTAGCTTCATTAGCTACAAAGCAAAGCACAAGTCCATTAAAATCAATCGTATTTGGGACGCTCATTCAGTGTGCAGAGCTGCTGGGATGGTTAGTAGACTTTCTATGGCTGCAAGTTGATCATAAGTGGCCTTGGAGAGCAGAACAACATACAGAAAGTCTAAATTACCAGAGTCAACTCATGATACAATCTTCCAGAGTTACTATCTACCCTTTTTTGTAATTGCCATGTTATAATGAGATTTCCAAGTCTGGAAATGCCTCCCTTTTTTCATTTTTGGACAGAGGAACCAGGCACGTCTTGATGTTTTGGCACCTTTCTAGATCCAGGAGTGCTCTGTAAGATTGTTCACTCTGCAGCATAAGGAAACACCCAGGATCTAGGAGCCATTAAAGCATACTAGACATACAAGACCTTTCTTATGACAGAAGCAATGTTATTGCTGAAGCTACAGCTGACACACATTTATTACTTAAGTGACAAATTCACAAAACATTTGCTTCAGTAACCTTTTTTGTCCGGATGAAGTACATACTTGCAATTTGAAGATATTGGTATTCAAGGTTATTTAATGAATTATGTGAGTATATTCCAGGCTGCTAGGTGATTCTGCTACTGCATTTGTGATGAGATTTTCATTTCAGAGCAGGAGGTCATTACGTACCAATTCAATTTCCTGATTAAAGAACTCAAGTCGAGGAGGCCAGAATAATATGGCTGCTTCAATACAATGTTCCATTTATCTAGACAGTTAAGGTACTTTATCCAGACATTCCTGATGTCCAAATTCACTGGGGAGAAGCAGAAATGAAATATATGAAGAGAGAAGTCCTAGAGAATATTTTTTTCCAAACAGTAAGTTTACACAAACATTACACTCAGAAAAATTTTCAGGAAGAGTTGGTAGATCTGATGTGTAGAATGAATTACTTGCATAAAAGAGCTGGAAATGAAAAGAGTAAAACAAGGCTTCACAGATTATCGTATCAATTGAAAATAGTGACTTTCCTATCTCCTTTGTTGCAACATTTTGCTCTGTTACACTGTCTGTTTCACTGATCTAAAAACCAGACAGCGAGGGTGAGGCACAGAAAGTGTAGGTTTTCTGTCTTCCATCCTCTCCCCAGAAACAGTCCAGTTTCATAACAGTATTTACACATGACCCCTCAATCAGCGGTATCAGCGCGGCTGAGAGGGCAGGGAATGGCCAAGCAAGAGCTTCAACTACGCAATAGCCAACATTAAACCATAACTCAATTTCTGTAATCCCTGCTACCCCTCCCATCTTTCAGAAGCTGCTATCCTTAGTCACTTGGAAGAGACATCACAGCAGGCTGTCCTATTGCTTTTAGTGTTGACAGAGTAAAAAGTGAAATAGATAGAAATAAAATGCTACTAACACGTAACCTTTTACATACCCCAACAACCCAGCCAGCCAAGCCAATGAGGCATTATTCCAGACAAAGCATTTACAAACACATTATCGAAGTCTAGTTTTTATCTAGACATCCTGTTATCATTATATTTTTTTTACTACATCTGACAAAAAGCTAGTCCAGAAGTTCTCTGAATAGCATACACCTTGCATACATAATTAATCCACTTCCCTTAATTTCTCATTCCTTTCATTTACAGATGTAAAATCTCATCCGCTCCTTTTTCCTGCTGAAACTGAACCTGAGAAGCCAATGCACAAAAGAGCTAAGATACTCTGCTGTCAAAAAAACCCTTGTATTTGACAAACAGGTACATGCAAGAGTAATGCCTCCAAGACATTATACTGAAACTTCAGACAGTAGAAGGAGACTAAGGTATTTTTCCAATTTGAATTCAAATATTGCCTTCATTGCTAATATGCTTAGTAAGAAGGATACAAAAAAATTAGGGAGTGCACAACACTGAACAATTCAGTGATATCCCTGAACAAGAAGGGAAATACTGTAAACTCTATTCATATTGCCTGATAATAAGAAAAAGAAATCAACCCCCCTCCCCTTCCCACGCACACACAAAAAGCCTGCAACCAACTAAAAAAAGCCTAACAATATAGCTAGGAGAAGAACAAGAACAAAAAAGAACCACCAAATGCAATTATTTAATTACTACAGTATTTACTTAGTTCTAGCTCTAAGTAATTTGCTGCAGATCTCCTTAATCTTTCATTTAGGACTAAACTATATAATAACTTGCCAATACACAATTAGAAGTTCACTGAATCTGAAAGAATTTATAGTTTGGTATGCAGTTTTCTTCATCTTCTCGAGAATTTGAAAAATCATGAACTTCACAGCTGTAAATTCGTTTTTAATTTGATGAAGTTTCAGTAGAATGATTAAGAGATTGCTATAATATATTGTGCTCAGCATATATTATAGATACACCCAAAACTGGCCAAGAGGATATACAACTAAGTGCATCTCTCTTCCACCTCCTCCATTTGATAGCAGGACACACTGAAATGCAACGTAAGTTTTAAAAGAATCACACCATTGTGTGAAGCCAGTGAACTTCCTCATGGAAACCAGTCGGAGTGCAGCTAGATGGATAAGTACATATGATTAAATTATTAAAGCAGTACACCTTGTCAAGTGCCGACAAATGTTTTAATAGCTTGCACTAATGTACAGCTTCAGCTTAGAGTATCAGGTTTCTGTTGCACCAGAACAAAAAACTTCAAGTTGTTCATTTAACTTTGCACCTCCCCTGGTCTCTGAAGAGTTTCTTGGAAGGGAGAGCAATTCTCACTGAAGACAAGGATATTTGAGTGTTGAGAAGATAAATCACAAGTAGAGCTGCATGTTCAAAGACAGAAAGTTACACACTATGAATCGTCTTACTCAATATAACGTGTATTCAAGATGCATCATTTCCTGAAGTCATAACAAACGTTGAAAATCTTCACCAATCATTTAAACACGTAAAAAAATTAAAATATATATGTTGTATGAAGATATGGAGAAAGAGACTGATTAACCGAGAAATAAACAAGAAAATCCTACTCCTGAGACAACGAGGGGAAGAGGCAAGCTGTCATAATCAATCCACAGTATAAAGTCAATTGAACTATACTTCTGTTGGATGAAAACACAAGGAAAAGGAGAAGTGAACGGATTCATAAAGGAACCAGAGAGTGAGTTGTCTTGAAAAAGGAGAAGTGAGAGTTCAGGTTTCTGCTCTCGTAGGCAAAGATATTAGATATTCAGTTGGTTTAGGGTTGACATCTGGGAGCTTCACCCAGATGGCAGTTAAGAGAACTAATAGAAGACCAACTTACATGGTTAATTACTTCCTCAGACTCCAAATTAAAAAAAAAAATAATAGGATGCTGGCATCACTAAGAAAGAGATCTATCAGCTGTTTTCACAGAACATTGAGATGTCATAGAATATTAATAAGTTTTTTTTTTTTTAATTTCTTCCATAACTTTGTTTCCAGCTCTGTACTCAGGAGTACAACATTAGCTTTAATAAAAAGAACTTGTAGTTCTCAAGAACTACAAGAGGTTAGTTGAAACTGACCGACGTGTCCTCAGAGATAAATAGCCTGGTAGAAACATCAAGGAGGCATACAGCTAGTTCAGGTGAAGTGGAAAGGGGTCAGGTATTAGGATGCACAGCATGGTGAGCTGCAAATTTGGAAGGAAGTCCAAATGCCAAGTCCTGAGGAAGAGACCCTTGCAGACCCTAGCTGGGAGGAAAAGGCAGCCAAGAGGCAGTTCAAAACTCATGTTCCAGATCCCTGTCCCAGTACCTAATGCTATCTTATTGCTTTGGATATGGGAAGAAACCGACTGTTTAAAGCTACGCTGGAATCATCTGGAATAAAAGATATCTGTCCTAAACTCAAACTCACTGCTCTCTAGGATCACAGGTAGAAATGCATTTATGGAGGCCTGACTGTTGAGGGAGTAATTAATCTTCTTAAAATAAAAGATTTGTCAAGTTGAAGATCATTTAAATTCTTTTAAGGAAACCCCTTGTGCATTGGATTATATGACAACAGACCTTGCCAGACAAATTATGCAAGTCCCACATAACCTTATAACCTACTAAATTCTATTGACTTCATCTCCCTTGCCCAAATTACTCATTTTCAAGTCTAATACCTATTGAGGTGGCATTATCAACTGAAATTGCACGGAAACTTAAGTAGCCAGGCTTTTCATGGCAGTGTTTTCTTGCATTTACGGATAGCGTTTCACTCTGTTTACGACTACCAACACAACAAATCTAACAGGATTTCCTATTTTGGTAATTGTCAGAGCATGCTGATTTCTTACTAGCAATATTGTTCAAATGATATAGTTATGAAGGACACTAAGAAACAACAAAACAAATCAAGAAACCTATTACAGTGGCAGAGGAATTTATTTCTTCCTACCTCCCACCAAAAATAATGTATCCTTATTGTTTCAGACTAGTATGACTGTAGTTATTAAGTCATTTTATATGCACATAGATTCATTCCCTTCCTTCGTACCACTGTAAATGCAGAATAAAGGCCTTTTGTGATAAATGCAGGCCATAAACCAAATGTGTTCACGATATAAGAAGGGTCACACATGACAAGAAGTGCCAGATAACTGATGTTTGACTTAAGATCCTGTTTCCTGAATAAGCAAAAAGCTATTAGTATATCCCATGATATACTAATGCAAGCAAGAAAACAAGGCATCTGAACAGAATAACAGAGGACAATCCTGAGATGAAAGAACTTGGTTGATTCAAAGGTTTTTAAAATAAATGAATCCTCTAAAATCTTATGTGATAATTTCCCGGCTTCCAGGTGCCTACAAGACGCTCTCTAAATACGTCTACTGAATGACTCCAAAAACTATTCCTGAGAATTACTGCTTTATTTCCTCACTGGAGTTGATGGAAACGCATTGGGGAAGTCTCGACAACATCTGAAATGTTTCATAATCTGTAATGTTCCAAACGAAAGGGGTCTTAGTCTCTCAGAGATATAGAAACGTACCATCAGATGAACCTTATAAATCAAAGAAAGCTAAAGATCTAAACACAGAAACAAAATGCAGTTCAAGTTCTAAGAAGTAACAGGATATTTTTCAAGCACCAATACATCGTGTCTCAATTTTAATGAAGAAAAACAACAAATAACAGCATAGAAATTACATAATTCATTAGCATTAATGCATAGTAATAAGTAATAAAATTATTCAGAGCTGCAGATTTATTGATGCCAAGTGATGCAAAGGAAACCCAATGTCTGAAGACAATATCTCAAGAAAAGGATAAAAGAAGATCATGTCAAAGAACATGAGCTGCATACAAAGTACACTGGTTTACATTTTGAACAGGTAGTACAGTAGTTTTAATCATAGCATAACAGCTTCCATCTTATACAAGGAAGGCGATTTCCCACTGCAGCTTAACCTCGTTCCACTTGAGTTTCCTGGGAGACAGGAAGGTACAAGCATGGTCAGATGGCTGAGGAACAACAGTCACCTTTCTCAGATACACCGACCCAATATTTTGACTTAATTTTGGTTCTGAGCAAAGCATGCTGCTGGTATCATAACTGCACATGAACTTGGAACAAAGCAGGGTAGTAGATTCTGCCACGGAAAGGTAAGACCATACAGAAAATGGGGTAGATGTCTCCTGTTTACATCTAAACAGTCTAGAAACTGGGAGGAAACAAGCTGAGGTAGATCCATAACAGCTTGCAACCTGGAAAAAAAAAAACCAGCAGGAGACCAAAGGCAGCAGAAGAACAGCACAGAAAGCAAAAGACATGGTGAGGTTCAGCTTAAGGTATCCATAAATGAAAAAGAACAAGCAGAACCTGCATTCCCATTGTGTAGTGTCAGAACCTGAAAGAGTGAATGAGCTCTTACTTAAGCACATTGAAATCTGATCTCATGGCATCACAAGGGATTAGCAGCAGAAATCACCAGTATTAATGCCCACCTCAAAGTGAGACTTTCCTGAAAGTGTTTTACATCTTTCATGATGACAGGGGAAAAACCTAAATTTGCTCATGAGACAGCTCCAGCTTCAGCTTATAAATTAATCTGAAATTAATCTGGGACCAATGACAGATACATGATGCTAATGACAGAAGCCTCTTGCTTATAAGAAATAGCATTTTTTCTAATTAAAAAGTAACCCAGCACATGATACAAAGGAGAAGATGATTACCTGAGAGACTAGCACAGTATTTGGAGTTGTTGTAGCAGTCATAGGATTCTCAGAAGTGACACTGCAAAGAACACTAGTTCAGCATTTATTACTGTACACAGAAACACAGTATTCCACCATCAAACCAGAAGTGGGTGCCTAGTTTAATACCCAGAGGTCGCAGAATGGTGATCAGTATTGCTATTTTGAGTAAAAGGCGAGATGCTGAATCCTTTGTCTTCAAAACATAGGACTGCATTTTAACAGGAAGGAAAAGAAGGTTATTAGACACTCCTGTATCTTGATTCCAAAGTCATCTCACAAAAATCTGAACCTAGTGAAGACAAAACTTAAACATTTATGCTTTTATTCAATGGTTTTAAAAATAGTGTATTACAACATTATACTGAAAATAGGAAGAATACTTTGCTCTGGCACAGAGTGTTGGCCAGGGGCTTAAAGAGTCCCAGCACTTTGGTCTCCTGACCATCTTACCATGCAAATCTTGACTCCTACATGTCTGTAGGTCAGCCTTTTGGTGGTGTTTACAGCACCTTGTGGTGGTAGGCCCTAAGAGCATCTGTCCAACCTGACCAGCCTCAGAATGTGTAACTACTTAACTATATCCCCAAGTACATGCTTTAACAGATTCACTCGTATCAATCAGATACAAGATGCTCTAAGACATGCAAAGGGCACAGGAGAAACTCGTGATGCATTTTCAATGCACTGCATTAAAAAAGACCTGGTAATCCTTAGGAAGTGAAAAACCTGTTTATTATTGGGCTAACCCTAGCACTAAGCCACGGAAACCCAACACAAAAGGTGATGCAACTCAACTACATACTCTCCCACTAGGCTGAAAAACAGGAAGGTGCTGCTAATCAGGAGTGAAGGCTGCAGCCCAGTTATGATTCATGTTGTACTCTCCCAATCTTTACTTAGAGCCTGGAGGTCATCTGGTGTTTAGAGGTGTTATGGACAGTGTGGGGGTACCTGCGCAGGTCCAGTCTCACCCAACACAAGGTAGTTCCCTTGCCTCTCAGAATTCACTTCATTTGCTTGCAAGAAGTTTGGTGTCTTGCTCAGCATTGTTACCTAAATCCTTTGCAAGCAGGAAATAAAATTTTGAAGTCAATTACAGTCACACTATCAGTAATATAGGCCCATAAGTACATCATCTCAAGCTATCTTAGACTGTAGCTGTGACATCTGGAAATACAGGCAGGCTGACTCATTGAAAAGGTATTTCTACACTTGGATTTTTCTTGAAAGAGGATGCCAGTATATTCCTAAATTTCAAAAAGATCATTTTCTCAATGGTTTGAATTAAAAAATAAAGAAATCTCTTTCCCTCAAAGTTTTTTCTAACCATGAACATTACAAATTTCGTTCTAAACTAATTTTATTTATTTAAGAGCGGAATAAGTGAGGATTTCTATCTTTTTGAGCACTCAAAATAAACATATTATATCAGTTCATCATATGGTAGCATGTGTTCCATAAACTCGAGGAAATACCATCAACTTAAGTGCATGTTTCATTCAGGATCCCAGCTCATTCCCAACATAACAAAAAAGATTAAATTGTAAGAACTAATAATCAAAGACACTTTTATGAGTCCCAGTGCTCCAGTCTCTCCATGTTCTGTAACAACAACAGAAACTCACTTAGAGAATAATGATGTTCTCAATATTTTTTTTCCTGTTGCTGCCATTTACACAGTCCTAAGGGTGCTGTCTGGGAAAATAACAAGAGCTACTACAGAACAGCTTGTTGTCGACACTGAACATAAGCCTAAGTGAAACAGAAATCAACATGAAGTGCACTTTACAAAGCCTATCTGCAGACCTCAGTTACATGCTTGATGGCAGAAATTCTTCAAACAGCTGGAGACGTTGCCACCTCCTTTCTCCTGGCTGCTTGTCCCTGCTCCTACGCTACCCCCTTGTCTCTGCAAACTCGATCGAGCCAGCAACTATTTAAGCAGCTGCTGTATCTCAGCAGATAACTCTCTCGACTCTTTCTTCCCGTGGTATGGAAGATTGAGAAGTAGTTTAGGGACTGCAAGACTATAGAAACGAGTGGATGGTGTCTTCTCTGCTAAAGAGCTTCCCACGTGAGTGGCAGGTGATCGCTGCCTTGGGCCAGATGAGTCAGACAACTTCAAGTCGCATGAAATAACTACTAAGTAGAAAAAATATTGTTAGGCACATCATAAAATATCCACGTGGCAAATGATACTAGCAGCACCAGCTTGCTACTCCTTATTCAGAAGAACCGTTCAAGTACATGCAAATAGCAGAACTGCACCACTGCAAAAGTGATACATCTGAGAGGAAAAAGACTCCTTGTAGGCTGCAGTTGACCCGTTAACCACACATAGTTAACAGCTACTATTTTACATGTGGTTTGTTTTTCTTTTCTTCCACTGAATGATGCATTGCCCTGCATGTAACGAACATCACTTCTCAGTTTTCAGGCCTGTGGCTCTTTTGAGAATAGGTAAAAGGAGCTGCTTACTCTCACCAAGGGTATGATTTGGAGCACAAGCTATTTTGGAATTCAGGAAGTGCTGGAAAAACAGAGGTCTGAATCCCATCCCACAGCTGTCTGTGCACCAAGGCAGTAATTTGTTGCACGTGTCATAGCTGCTCTGATACTGTCTTCCCTTTTTCTTTGCTCTGACGCTTTCAGAAGCTCTACATTAACCTTCAGGGGTCAGTTCACTTAATTAATGAGTTGGGCAAACCATTTCATCAATTTGCTTTCAATTGAGGAAATTACAAAAATAATCTCTGTGAATTCATGAGCCCTTCTGTGTTCCTCGTGTGAAATAGGTAATTTACCCTGCACTTACAAATTACAAGTTTGTTTAGGCATCTGATTGCTAAAACCCTAAGGGGGGAGGGGGATGGATAAACACGGGGGAGTAGAAGTGAGCTTATGAACGTGAAAGATGCAGCATTTTCAAGGTCTTCTTTCACTGTCTGTTAAAACACAGCAATGTCAGGTCCCAGCATTTTTTCATTTGCAGCTCCACGTAGAAAAGCAATCAATCCCAACAAAGTTATGCGTGCTAACAATTGGATGCTAACTTCAAAGCTCTTAAATCTGACGGGGAAACCATTTCTAGTCAGCGTTAGCTTTCAGGCTTCACCCCATACCTCACCCCTTGATTAATCTATCTCTAGCAATGGACTGAGCTGCCCTTCCTGCCTCTGCTCCTTGAGATGGACTCCTTCCTTGCAGGGCTGCATGTCAAATTCCATTGCAGGTGTCTGTACCACATAGTGTTTATGCAGTTAGAATAAATTAAAGAAAAACAAGCAGCAAGACTTAAATGGTCCAGTCAGAATTTAGACAGCACATTTCTAGAGAACAGTCTTGCTAAAAGAGTCACAGCTGGACATCTTATTTTCAAATAGCGCATTTTCCTCAAGATAGACTAAAAAGGCATCATCTCTGAAGGGCAATACAGATAACTCCTTCTGATTTGTCTCCAGGGGAACCAATATCTCTATCGACTGCGATATTTCCTTTTAAAATCCGTGCTTTCACTTTTCATCATCCAAGTGTTAGTTGCTTCCTCAGAGCTGCAAACAGTTTTGTTTGCGTTTCATCTCCTTGATGCTATGCCTTAAACCATTCTTTCCAATTTAACACAGTGCTATGACGTGCTGTGCTTGTGCACCAAATATACCCACAGACTTCAGATGAAGTAAAACTGTAAATGGATACGTATAAAACCAACTTTTCTGGCATTTCCACTTCAGAGCTAGTCAGTATCTTTTCTTCCAGCACTCAGTTATAGTGAAATTAAGAGTTTCTAGACAATTGTTCTCCATCGCTGTAAGTAGTAAGCACCAAATAAGATAGATCTATTCACACTTCCTCCAAGTCTGCTGTGCTTCACTACCTCAAGTAGTCTGTACAAAGTGGAACTGAGCATTGCCAGTAAACGTGGCTCATGCTTTTCTCAAAAAGTTTAAATGAAGATTTACATATAGAAATCCAAACCTGGACCTCACTTGAAGCACTTATGCAGAGGATCTTAGAAGATCAACATTTGAAAAATATCCAACAAACTGATAAGAACATAATCTCAGTCAACGCCGGCTTACAACTACTGGTTATAACAGCCTTTCAAGTATCTGAGATTCACGCAGCAGAAGTTTTTTTGCTGGCGTTGAAGTCATTTTGTATGACCTGGTTTATTTGATTTCCAGACAGGTCTGTCTCTAAAATGTCATAACCTTTCATGTCTAAATATCAGGCCCATTTAAGAATTTTCTCATGCAGGACCTGTCACCTCAAAGTTGTTGGACCGCTATCATACATATCCTCTATCAAGAACGAGGAACAAAGGGCATGCATAAGTCTCACTTATTCATCTGTATAAAACAGTCTGTTACTGCCGTATTACTGCCCAGCCAGTCATAAGGCTGCATCAACACTCAGAGAAGGTATTTTTTAATTGCCTGACTAGAAGACTGCTCTATCCAGCCATGCCTGGAGGACAACAGCATTCTTCTTTCTGCAAAACTGAATACAGACAATCAACATACCTGGGAACAAAAACTGGGAGACAAAACAAACTCCCTCACTTACCTCTCCCAATAACTGAATTAAATATAGAATTACAGACTCTAAAGGCCTCTCCGAAGAGAAGGGGGCAGAGAATTCTCTCCAAATCCAGTTGACAAAAACAATATGAAGAAAACAATAACTGAAGTTTCATTGGAGATCGGGATCACAGACATGGGCTTCTATAAGGGTGAAACTAGACGTAGTTTGCAGAATATGCAACTATACATATATATCTTGCTTTTGTCCAAGTTATTTCTGCCTAATGATCTAACATCTCTGCTGATTTTGCCTCACAATAAGTTATGTTTAGTCTCAACTAGAATCATGATCTGTTCAAGTGTTTCAAAAGGGCTGGTACCAACCACAGGACCTGGAAGTTCCTGTTTTCAAGAAGGACGCTCACACAGACTGAAATCACTATTCTCAGGTGCTTCAGTGGAATCCCAGGCACCCCACAACTCATTCACTGATCAATTTCCAACCACATAGTAC